AGAACACAAACATTACCTCAGGACTCTTATAAAATGAAAAACTGTTCTGTTAAGCCAGAAAAATGTGCAATGTGTTAGTAAATACAGCTCACCCTAGAGACCAGCTCTTGTCATTGCTTAGCAATGTTATGAAATCATACATTCCCCTCCCAGCACTGGGCTAAGCAGTGGAAACCAAAGGGTTTTGACTTTCCCCCACACAGAGGCCCAATGCTATCATTCCACTCCAAGTTATCATTCCCCAGGAGATGATAAGCACCCTCTGCTTTACCACAGAAGTGGCAAATGTAGTTGCTGAGCTCCTGCAAGTCAGGCTATTGCATTATGTTTTAAGAGCAGACAAAATGCTTGACTTCAGACATCTGCATTCGAACATGTTGGCCTTAAATTGCTGCAGCCAGGTTGTCCCTGTGGGTCAGGATTTATGCCAGACCTTTTACGTGCAAGAACAGGATAAATAGCTGTACACAAAGCTGTAAAGGAAGCTAATCCAAAAGAAAAGGTCATTGATTTCAATCTGCGTGAGAAAAAGCTTTTGGACTGGAAATGTTAGTGACAAAAGACAAAATGGATAATTTGTTGTTATTGCAAGCTGGACAACTTATCCCAGGAGAGTAGAAACTGGAAGACTGGGACAGAGAGCTCTGATGTTGTGCTACCTTCTCAGGGCCACTGCAGTGCGGCAGAGAGACTGCTGAACTGTTTGATGACATGGCAGAGGGGAAGGCAGATTCCTTTCTGGCAGCACAACAGGCTGTGATAGATGAACAAAAGGAAAGGACAAAAGGTCTGTAAGAGGGCTTGGAAAGGGGGACAGGCAGGTTCCAGCTGAAAGGCACAGATTCACAAGGGCTTGCTCAAGACAGAACACCTGCCTTAACAGTTTTGGCTCCTGTTGGTACCTCTCTTGGTTGCATGTCCCAGCTGAGGAGGAAACGTCATTTGTCTCAACAGGTAGGTGACATATGCTAGGCAGGATGGAGCCGTGCTTTATCAGCTCTGTCCCCATGCATATCTGTACATGGGATATGCTAGATCTGGTGAGAATCTCTGGGGCCAGTGTATTAAGAGGCCTTTCATACTGCCCTGCTCCTCATAAAACCCAAATCTGTCAAAGGCGTGGCTGAGTTTGTGCTGCCCCTGGAAATGACAAATTAACATTAGCTGTGAATCTAAATTCGTTTCAGCCATTTATGGCCTTATCTGAGCCATAGTCCCTGGAAAAGCTGGTCCTGTTTGTCAGTGAGACATTCCAGAGAAAACATCATGTGTTCGTTTCACAAAGTGAAACAAGAGCTTTGTTCTGCATGCTTTCCCCCCCCCTCCCCTTTTCTGAATGAGGCAGTTTTGTCCAGGGATTACAAGCCAATGTTCCAATCCTTCACAGACGTTTCCCATTATCAGCGCTGCCTCTTGTCCTCCAAACCATTTTCCACAAGACTTCTGTAACTTAGGCTGGGAAACAAAGCCAGGAGCTTTGAAGAAAGGACCCTATTCCAGACTGCTGACAACACTGAAAAATGCTGCAGGGTGTAGCTGGGACCACCCAGACTGAAGCACCCTCAGCAGGGGACCAGCTGAAAAAGATGCTTGTGGTGTGAGGAGGCTCACTAAGTGCTGTACAGCCATTTAAACAGCTTGGTAAATTAGCTTTGATGAGGTATAATTGCATTGTACAGAACTAGTTAAAGACTGCTGATAGACAACTGCGACTGATTGTTAACCCTGCAGCATGCAGCAGAAAAGCTCCTTGTGTTGCCTCCTTGAGACCTCCTCACAACCAGTGAGACCCCAATATCTGGGAGGCCAAATTACCGCTGCTGTGGAAAGCTACTGAAGTGGGTTGGAGGAAGGTAAGGAAAAAGTGGGGCTTTTTCTTTGCATTGTTTTTCTCCCCCTCAAAGCATCATCCTCTTCTCAGAGGAGCTGGACCACCTACTTACTGCACAAACGCAAACAAGTCACTTCCAAACAGAAACCACCAAATGGCACAGCATCAGGCTCTGTTCCGCGGATCCCCCTCCCACTGAGCTCAACTACAGCCGGGTTCATTAGGCTGGATGGGCCCCAGCAGCCTCCTCAGTGTAGCCATGTTTGCACACTCCTTCGGGGTATTCAGAGATACTTTTCTGAAAATTTACAGAGAGATGCAGTAGTTTAATCAAAGGTGAGACGCCTTGAATTGATTTCCTAACCTCAGTACAGATCCTGGTGCACATTCTGTTCTTTTAAGCCAGACACTAGTGAACTGAGATAGAGCTGCCAGCCGTTCTGAGAAACTTCCTGAAGCTGGATAGATCTTGAGTTTAGATAGCCTGAATCAGTCCCTAAGACACTGGTACTATGGTCTACAGAACACTGAGAATTAGCTTGAATTTAGGCTATGACTCCAAATCAGGAGTTATGGTCATCATAATATTTCGTGTTCAGTACTTAGCATAAACTCTCTACAACTCTAATGCTGACTGAAAATACATAAATAACACATTCTTTCTTTCCTACAATTTTTTCCACTTTCATTTCTTTCATGATTGTGAATAAATATGCATTTGACTGCACAGAGACACCTCCTGCTTCTGTTCCCCTGTTCTGATCAGCACAAGGTTCTCTAACGGCCTCTTCTCTTTATTTTTGAGCACAGACACAGTAAAAGAAGGAAAACCTGGCAATTTTAGCATAGACTAATGGTGTACTGTTTCACCCAGTTGATTTACTCTCCCCTTTGGGGCTCCTATCTGTTCTTCCTTTTCCTGTAAACATTATACTGCAATGGTAAACAAAATTAAAAACAACTTAGTTACATTGTTCAGTCAGAGCAAAGATCAGGCAATTTCCCTAAAGCCATGGTGATTTTTCTGTGGCTGCCAAGATACACTGCCCAAGTGAAATCTGTTCTGAACAGATGAGACACTCTGCTAAGGAAGCAATGGATTAGTTGTCAGCTCACACATGTTAAAGTAGAGATACCGGATGCCCAGGGAGAGATATCAGCTTTTGCAACCAAGAAAAAAGAAAAGGGGACATGGAAAAAGCAAAGAAACATTGATGTTTGAAGAAACATGACAGAACTGAAGCAGATAAACGGGGAAAAAATCAGATCTGGAGGGATGCATCAGAGAGTGCTAAGACTGAATGGGTGATAAAAGCCTTGGAAAGAAAATAATTTTAAAAACTTTTAAACCGTTATCTGCCCTTCAGTGGGAAGGTGATACCTAGTCATGTAAGAGAGTAAGTAATATAGGAGTGTTTCCTTGGTGTAAGTTACACATGACTGCCTGCATGGCATGGTTTTCTTCTCAAAAATTGGTGTTTGTTTGCATTTCAATGTCTTTTAATCACTGCTCCTGGTGGAAAAAATTAGGGTTGAGGTCATAGTATCCTTTCGAGTTGTGGAATGAATATCCAGAAGATCTTTACAAAGCCATCTGCAGAACACCTTCTACAGTAGCTCTGGACCAGGAATTGCCTCTCTCTTGGGAAGACACTTCTGGTAACACATTTCTTAGGCAGCTTATAGGGAGCCAGAATTGCTTTTGCTTCTGGACAGAGGCTTAACTTTTCTGGATCTCAGAGATGCTGGACTGTGCAGACAGCAAGACAGCAGAGGGCACACTGCAGTCAGTCACTGCAGGTATAGGATATCAGAACAGTCTGAGAAAAGATCACACAAAAAGCATACACAGATGTCTTCTGAGGTGCTGTTCAATGAGAAGATCAATGTCCTGATGGTTTGAAGCATTTCAACTTGGCAACATTCTCACCTGTCCTTTCTGAGTTTTTCAGAACACAGTAAAAAAACATTAAAACAACAGCAAATTCCATGCTGTGGTATCAGATGGATAAGTACCAAGGACAACAGCGAGGCTGGAGCCTTTAGCAAAAGATATTAAGCATCAGTCTTTAAAATAGGCCAACACGAGGAGAGGATGCTGTCTGTGTGCCTAGTGTGTCCCACAGATACCTGTAGACAGAGGAGGAGTGACTCTGTGCAGGAACAGGCCCTGGAAGCTCCTACTGACAGCATGACCCAGCCTTGTGTTCCCAGTCAGATTTTATTTCTGCCTTGCCTCCTTGTTCCCCATGGCTGGTTTATTTTTCCAGTCCCCTTTTCCCTCTCTCTCAGTCTTGGCCTCTGGTCTTTGTTCACTCAGTCCCCAAAGCATCTGCCTACCTGAGCCCTGAGGCACACTCTCCCTCCTCTCTGGCATTTCCCCAGATACACATTTCCTGCTACCAGTGCCCCTTCTCAAGCTCCTCAGGCAGTCCAAGGTCCCTAAACCTCAGCTGCTTCCAACTTTATCCCTCCACTCCTCCCACGGTCCAGATTCTACCATTCCCATCCTACATATTCCTGGTCACTCCACGCTATGCAGAGTCACTGCCTTTTCTCTATTTCAGTGTAAGGAAGCTTGTACCAATATAACACCTTTAATTCCCATCTTGTCCTTAACTCTCTGTTCTGCATTGAAGGTAAATGCCCTCCCTTCTCTAAGATGCTTCGGCAACTGACAAAAGCAACCTAGGAGTACAGGAAGGACAGGCTCCCAACCTCCAGCTGTGAATCAAATGGGTAAACTTGTCCACCTTGTGAAGAAACTCATGCTGATGGCTTCTGCCCTCCAAGATGTGAGGTGGCACCTACATACCCACCCAGGGTACAGGAAGTGCACAGGCAATCTCAGTGGCCTTCAGCTGATAGGATGACACAGATATAAGCCATCAGCTCCATTTTATCATCTCATTGTTGATTACCTTTCAAATAAAAATACCGTTCTGTTGTAGAAAGGCTGAATTTCAGTGTTTGTGTATTGAAATGTAACAAATCATCTATGTATCCTTGGGAAAAGCAATGGATTATCTCCAGCTATATTTACATCTTTGGGTCATTTCCCAATGGGAGATGGGAAAGGCTGTGAAACATGGTGGTTACAGTCTAACATTTCTAATGACAGAAATTAGTATCAACTTACCTTCCTTACAGACTGATAAGGTTGCACTAAAGCTTCCCATCATCTCCAGGCCTTTTAGAGTGAAGAAAACTCAAGCTAAGCCCATTTGTTTCCCTTTCCATACTGCTTGTAAGACTGATCCTGGTTAAAATAAATGCAGAAAGAAGTGGGCTGTAGCTTGGAAGGCTGAATACAGCAGGGGGAAGAAAAGCTTGTGGCTGAAGAGCTTGGCTATGGCTAGGACAAGAGAAAGGCTAAGAAGGTGGGGACAGACGTACTGGACTCTGAAAACTAACTGATACTTTTCCACTATATTTCCTGCAAAAGAAAAAACATTCCAACAGGCACACTTTTATTCCTTAAAAATGCGGCTGTTGGTGCCAACAAGACAACCCCTCTCTTACAGTGTATTAAAAAACCCTGTCAGCTCCCAACTGCTAAAAACTCACCGTTTTTACTGAAATTTTCCGTTCTTGCTCTCTGCCTCAGACATGTACTTCCTTTTAAGTTCTTACAGAAATAGCATCATTGCTTTCTGAAAGAGGACTTGGGAAAAGAATAGTTTTAACAGCACAGACTTGTTTTTCCAACCATTCCAGAAAGGGGTAGAAATTCGGAGAGCTGTAACAAGAGCTTTAGATTACAGAGAGGAGACATCTCCTTCATTCTTTTTTCTTGGATCCTTGAGTGACCATGTCAAGAACTTGTGTTTGAATTTATCAGCACAAATACTAGTCTTTTTGAGCTACAGCTACGTGATTGCTAACTGGTAGAAAAAAAACACAGGAGAACCTGGTTAAAAATTGTGGATTCTGATTCCTCTGATTTTACAGAGGAGTTCACACTCCTAAATCTTGGCAGCCCCACACATTCCTTAAGATAAAATAAAAAACTCCTCCCCCTTCCTTTTGTGACTTTCCTCTTTTTCTTTCCATACTTGCAGCAAGACTATGAAATTTGGCAGGATACTTAAATCAGGGTGAGAACTTTTTTTTTTTTTTTTTTAATGTAGTCTCATGAAAATCTGTTCAGATTTTGGGTTGAAGTACAAAATGTCACAAGTTTTCACTTCCCATCTGTGATTGGCATAGCACAGCTTGCAGTTCTGGCCACATGCCATAACTCCCTGACAGTTTTACTGCCATGTGCAAGTCCTGGCCCTGTGTCTCATTCTACCACTTTCTAGAGAGCTTTACTCCAGCTGATCTGTTGCCAGCAGAGAAGATGTGGCCAAATGTGATACAGGAAAACTCTAGGATGGCTGACGTCTAGATGTGTATGTATTTCTCCCCAAGCAAAACACTTGTTGGATTACTGGAAAACTGGCCAATGTGGGGAGTTATGGACTAGTGGGCGGACTACAAAGTGGGAGAAGCAGGCTGGACAAGTGGGCTCAAAATGTTGTGGTCAACATTTCAAAGTCTACTAGGAAGCCAATTGCAAGTAATATTTCTCAGAGGGTTAATTCTGAGACTGGTTATCATATAACATACTCATCTACACTGTGGAAAAGGGGGTAGAGAACACCTTGAAGAGTTCACAGATATCAAAACTCAGAGAGGTGGTGGACGCACTGAAGGGAAGGGCTGCCTTAATAAGCTGGAGAAGCAGGCTGGGAAAAACTGCATGAGGTTCAATATTGATAAAACGGGTGTCTTGAGAAACCCCCAATTCCCAGTGCAGGCTGGATCTCTGCCTAGAAGGCAACTTTGTAGAAAAAGGCCTCGGGCTCCTGATGGACAACAGTTGACAATACCCAGAAGTATGCCTTGGCAGAAATAGGCTAAAAGCACACTAGGCTGCAGAGGCAAGAGAGCAAACTAGGCAAGTGATCGTTCCCTTTTGTCAAGTGCTCATGAGGCTGCATCTGGGACAGTTTCCATTTCTGGTTTTCCCTGGTCATGAGAGATATCAATATACTGAGCTGGGTCCTCCAAGAAGATCAGGTATCTGAAATATGTAGAAAGAGAGGCGAGGGACCTGAATTTTTGGCCTGGAGAAGAGAAGGTTGTGGGGGACTCAATTGCTATCTCAGACTGTAGAAAAGGCTATGAGAAAGTCAGACACTCCATAAAGGTCCAGATTGAAAGAGTGAGAGGAAATGAATACAGGTTGCAGCAAAGGAAATTCCAACTAGACTTAACACACACACACAAAATCCCATCAGCAGAGCCAAGGCGAGTGGCTCAGAGTTGGGATTTTAGGACTCATTTGAACATTAGCAACCTTATCTTACTTTAGAATTAGGCCTGCTGGGAATAAGGGAATGGATTTGAGACTCAAGTGGTCTCTCCCAAGCTGTCCTCTGATTCTATGAATACAGCAGTAGCAATTCACAAACAACAGGACTGACATTTGCTTGAACTGACCTTCAGGGTTGGAGACTGGCAAATGGTTAAGGTTGGGTAACCTATAACTCAGAACTACAAAACCTCTCAGCTCCCACTGTCCTGAGCATTCACCTTGTAATTGATTAAAGCATCTTGACTTGCAGAAAGGAAATACAGAGTATTCATCATTCTTCCCTCTTACATGACATCCATTCTGGGTATATGGACCCTCTTGCTCACAAACTCTGCTTCCTCAAATCATTATTGGAGACATCTGAGCCCTCCTGTTTAAGTAGTGCATTCTCTGGGAGCTCAACCTGTAGACACCTGTTGGCCAAACCCTTCAAAGACAAGTGCAGCAGGCCTGATGGTAATGGAAGTCCTCACAAAGGAATTCCTTAAATCTCATGAAAGAGCTTGCATTTCTCAGTGTCTTAAGTTACAGACTTTAGGAAACAAAAAAAAGCCTCAGGAAGCACTGCTACGCATTTAGTGAGCCTGGCCCTCCAGAACTCACTTGTTTTTTCAAATGGAGATTGAATATGATGTTGGTTACCTAGGTATCAAGTATGAGACCTAGAGTGCGCAGTCCTGCTGCTCATCTTTCTGCCCTTGCAAAATCATTTCAATTCTGTTGAGTTGGACCAATAATTAGATGGCAGCTGCCACAGACAAAAAGCACAGTTCAGCAATCAAAGGCAAAGTAAAATCCTTACTTCTTTCTTCCAACACCTGTAGCACGTGAATGGCTATTCTTGTTTCGGTGCTTGTTTTGCCCTCTCGTGGAAGTGTGGGAAATCTGAGGCCTGCTTCATGCTGAGTTGTCTGAAAAAAAAAATCAGAAAAGTTGGCAAAGTCATTATTTTGTCCTTGATTCTAGATGGGACAACTTTTTTGGTTTAAAACTCTGTTTCTTCTTGGAATTAATGGATGTCTAAGTCCTGACAAAATTAAAGGAATCAGAGACTGATAATTTTGGTACCACATTAAACACCCAAAGTCTTACGTTGTCTTAGCTGTGGTTGCCCACAGCAGTAATCAGCATTTAATGAAGATAACATTTCAAGCTGCCCTCCCACTGCTCAGTTCATCTACACAGATGTACACATACACGAGGAAATTGGATCCCAGAATCACTTTCTATGTCTCTCTTAAAACTTACTTCCCCATCTTTACATCCCCTCTACAAATAAAAGGGCTTAGATCATAACATATAGTGATATTTGATTCAAAAAAGGGGCAACAGGAGGAGGCAGTGGACAGAAAAGAAAGAGCTCGTTACTGCATTTAAACTCTATTTGTTTCATTTGATGAGCACAACCCCTTGGGCTTAAATGGCCTTCCTGCTGGTGACAGTGTTTCTAAGGCCAGCTCAGAAACTGTAAATCATAATATGTATGATCTTGTATAGCAGTTGAGTACATGTCTTCATCAAGTGCATTTTGTTGGCAACTCCATCCATGACAGAGGAGTTGAAAGTCAGTGATCTTTAAGGTCTCTTCCAACCTAAGCCATTCTATGATTTTATGAGTCTGTGATCAATAGCAGGCTTCCCAGTTCCTCACAACCCCATGACACATTAATTACACAGGCAGCACATGATGTTCCAGGGACGTCTCCTAAACCACCTTACTCCACTACCTTTTTCTGAAGAACTGCAGGCATGATTCTATACTAAGTGAATACTGTCTTTGTGGTATTTGCCACGGTGCAGGAAAATTTGTAAGCTAACAGGGTAGCTAAACAAGACCTAACTTCTAATGATAAATCACAATTAGAAGGCTGTGGTATCTCTTGTATTGAACGCATCGATTGTCAGCTGCTGCCAATAACACAAAAGATGATTCATTCCTTGAGGTTCTGTTTCCAATTGAGCAACAGCATCTGATATTTCCTTCTACCTGAGCCTTCAAGCCATGACAAAACATTATATTTACTTTTTACTTTCTTTCTGCAAAGCACTATAGTAAAAATGCCCTTACCAATCCTTTTTTTTTTTTTTTTCTTTCTTTCTTTCTTTTTTTTTTTTTTTTGGTTTGTTGTATCCTTTTGGCTAGGAATCACTGTTTCTCCTTATCCTTCAGCCTCAATCTTGTCTCTGCAGACAATGCTTTTTTCATTCCAAGAGTCTGCAAGAGCCAAGGGAGCTTGTTATTCTTGCACAGGTCAGGCTGCTTTCTTTGTTTCCTTTTAAAATCCAGCACATCCCACACTCTGCTTCGCTTGCTATTTCTAATAATTTATTTGTAGACACTATTCAGTGTTGGACTATCAGATGTATTCCTTCCTCATATTCTTCCTCCATTTTTTCCCTTATTCTGTATGAAATTTCAAGAAAGAAAATATACTAAAATAATTTGTCTTCTTCTGATTATTTTTTCACTTGCAGGTTAAATCCTTCTGATATTAGAATTGTGTACTAATAACTTGGTGGTACAGAATCTTGAGGCTTGTGAAGAACATTCTGGAGGACTGTGATTTGCTTTCAGTCTTAGCCTGCAGTCAAGCATATGACAGAGAAAATTCAGACATAGGAATACAGTTTTGCAGCATTGGCTTCAGCTCATCTGTATGCTACCATCCTCCTATTATTTTAGCTATCTGGAGTGTTATTTTCCTTACTTTTATTATAACTGAGCTTGATTTCAAAGCAACTGCTGTGGAGGTCTTGTCAAAGGTTTAATTGTCAGAATCCCTTCTTAGCCTTCCTCATTTATACCTCCCTTCGGACCGTAAACTGTGCATTTATACTCCTCATGGTATAAATCCTGATAGATATGTCAATATTCCTTGTGCAGTTGCTGACTTTGAGGGGGAGGTTGCTATTCATTAGCTATTTGGTTTTTTTTTCATTTTGAATCAAATCTGATGCTTCCTCTTTCTGCAGCGTGGCCAAAATAATTCAGTTCCTCTGTGTGCATTTGCATTTTGCCATGGCTGAATTTTAGATTGCATTATCTGCCTCTTCTAGGCAATGCTATTAGGTTTTTTTTGTCATGTTTCTCTCTGGGTCTGTCACGCATGACAACGTCATCAAGAGCAACTCCAGCTCTTCACAGTCTTTGTGTTACTTTGTGAATCGTTCAGGGCATACCTCCAGGACAGGCAGTGTTTTTAAGAGGCAGCCGCTTGAAGTGCTGTCTTACACTCATCAACATGCCACTTTCCTGGGCCAGCCTGAACTACCGGTGCCCAGATTGAGTGTTTAGTACAAAGAGTGTATTTGCTGTATAGAGCAGACAGGTGATCTCAGCTTGGGTCTGTAGATAGCACTGTTTTCTCTTATTGCTTTCCTTGTGTCTCAGTAGTCTACGCAGCTATAGATTATAATTACGTTTCTCTCCTTTCTTGTGATTACTCTGCAAAATCATTCTGGCTCTTCCACCACTCAGTTGTCCTCATTTACAGCACACATGCTGCTCTCCCATCCTTTCTCAGTCTCACCAGTGCTGGATGCCACTGTGTATGTGCCACTGAGTCCATAATTTTAGGTAGCTGCTTCTCTATTGCAGGGAGAGGAAGTGCAGGTATGGAAATCCCAAGGGAACCCAGGATGTCATCCTCAACAATTCCTCCTGATTCAGTTTCTTTGCAGAAGGGAAGAAGTTAATTATTCATTATCCCCAGCTGCAGCACGACTCCAAGCTAGGCAAATACCACTTCCACAGCCTGGCAGCCACATGGCAGGGAGCAGCAAAGCCCAAAGTGACTCCAGTCTCATGGTGGTGTTCATCAGGTGTCCAGGCTGTGCTTTTCCTTTAGACTGTCTCAGGAGGCAGTTGGCCTGTGCCCTGATGAGAATATCCAGCATCACATCTGTGCCTTGTGGCCCTGCTGTGAGAATTACATATGGCTCATTGCTTTTCTCCTGTGTTGTGCCAGGAAGAGTGCAGTGCTACTGCTGCTGAATTACTGTCCTCGTTGCTGTTCTTTAGTCGCACACATAAGGAGTGCCAGGTATCTTTCTGGCTGCTTGAAGAAGCATTCACACCTGCGCTCCCGAGAACTGAGCCTGCTTGTTGCTTTGTGTGATGCAATACATGCACCAATGTCCTGCTGATGTACCTTTGCTACATACTTCTCTTTAAATGCTGAACATCACTCAGGCTCTCTGCTCTCTCCCTCTTCTCTCAGCAGTGTATGACTGTCTGCTGTCCATGTTTTAAGCTGTACAGCTCCATGTCCATCACTAGTAAGAGCTTCTCAATGCCTGTGCTCTCTGAGCACTCTCTGTTCAAATGCTAAATGATTCTTCATTACTGATTTTCTTTGTATGCCTTTCTGGCTTGATCCTGTTAAGATCTTTTCCATCCGTACACTGTGAAAGCAGCTTTTGTTATAGCTTCAGCTATCCACTCACTACTAGTCCCAGCCTCCCTAGGACTTTCTTTCCTGGAAAACTTGTTTTTGCGCAGAAACATTTTCCTTTGTAGAGCCTCCATACATGCACTGTTCCTCTCTAGATCATTTTGTCACCCTGTAAGCCCTTAGTTCCTCTTCAGTTCCCACTGCTCCCAAAAAGGCTCTGCTCCACCCCATCCCTTTTGCTGTCTTTACAGAAATTCCCCAATCCCTTGCTCTGCTCCCCTCTGCTACTTCTCCTCCATCCTTGCTTCCTTCCCACCATACCCTCACATCTGCACTCTGCTCCTTTCAGGTCAAGAATCCTTGCTGCCTTTGCCATGGCCTCTCCCTTGATGTCCACAAGGAGGAAGCCAAACAGCTGGCTTGGTCAGGAGATGTGGATTTGAATTTTTTCAGTCTGAGTTCTGATGTTTCTCAAGCACCGAAGTGACCTTCCGTGCTTCATTTGTCTATCTGTACTGAAAATTGGACTTTCCATCCCAAAGAAGAATGCTCAAGGAAGGCTGTGAAGATCAGGATCTGACTCTTGCACAGACTTCTTCCATGCCTCAGAAAGATGAGTGTGCATGCAAGAAAACAAGCGAGGCAATACTCATGCTGAATTACTCCTCCCTTTGCTCCAAAGGAAGCTACAACATCACAGCAACACAAGATGGCTCAACATGTCCTCTTAATGTAGTTTTTGAAATATGGCATTTACAGGAAGTGTCTCATCTTACCATCTCAAGGGACATCGAACCATGGGTCACCACTGTCCTGCTCCTGCATCCCTGCAGCTCTCTCCCCACTGCATACCTTAGCAGTGAGTCAGACCACCAATTCATCCACTGGACACATTCCTTGGTTTACTTCCAGCCAAATAACCAAGCCTATTTGAATTACTCAGCACCCTCACGTGCAAGCTCATGTGGATCAATGAGAGATGGTCCAAAGTCTGAGAGGGAGTGGTAGAGGTGGAGAAGTACTATGGTCTCTTTTGGCAGCACTCCAGCAGCAGATTAGCTAAACAAGACCATGCACACTGGCACAAATCAGTGAAGGGCTGCTGTTGGGCTTCTTTTCATAGAATCATAGAATCACCAAGGTTGGAAAATATCTTCAAGATCATCCAGTCCAACTGTCCACCTATCATCAATATTTTCCAGCAAACCAGGCAGGTCACTCAATCATAGGAGATGAAGTTGGTCAAGCACGACCTGCCTTTCATGAACTCATGCTGGCTAGGCCTGAACCCCCAGTTGTCCAGCACATACCGTGATCTCCCTCAAGATGATCTGCTCCACCACCCTTCCTGGCACCAAGGTCAGGCTGGCAGGCCTGTGGCTCCCCAGATCCTCCTTACAACCCTTCTTGTAAATGGGAGTCACCTTGGCAAGCCTCCAGTCCTTCAGTACCTCTTCAATTGGCCAGGAATACTCATAGATGGTAGAAAGTGGCTTGGCTATCACCTCCACCAGCTCCCTCAGCACCCTCAGGTGTATCCCATCTCACTGCATGGACCTGTGTCAGTCCAGGTGGAATAATAGGTCTCTAACTGCTTCCACCTGAATTGTGGCGGGGGTTATTCTGTTCCCCACCTGAGATTTCCAGGCCAGGGGTTAGAGTACCGTGAGGATAACTGGTCTGACTTTCAAAGACAGATGTAAAGAAGGAATAGAGAACCTCAGCCTTTTCCTCATCTTCAGTGGTTACATTCCCTGCTGCATCCAATAAAGGATGGAGATTCTCCTTAGCCTTCCCCTTACTGTTAATATATCTGTAAGAAAATTTTTTTGCTCTCTTTTACCCAACGGCCAAGTCAAGTTCAAGCTGGGCTTTTGCCTTTCTAATTTTCTCCCTGCATATCCTAACAACTTATCTGCACTCTTCCCAAGTTGCTGGTCCTTTCTTCCACAAGAGGTAGATTCTCTTCCTCTTCTGGAGCTTCAGGAAAACCTCCTTGTTCACCCATGATGGTCTTTCCCTACCAGCTCATCTTGCAGCACAGGGGGACAGCCTGCTCCTGTATCCTCAAGATTTCCTTCTTGAGCAGCAACCTGCCTTCCTGGACCTCTTTACACTTCAGGACTGAATCCCAAAGGACACTCCCTACCAGAGTCCTAAACAGTTTAGTGTCTCCTCTCTGAAAGTCCAAAGTAGCAGTTTTGCTGGTCCCCTCCTGAAAAGAGACCAGTTTTGCTTGCCCCTGTAGCAGCCTCATGATTATGGCAGACCTGCCTTGCAAGGCTAGATTCAAATATCTTTCTTTTTTAGTAACACTATCAGGCAACAAGCAAATTAGGAAGTTTAGTGGCAATTACTCTCAGAAACCTGGTCAGATAAAAAAAAACGTACCCTCTGTCTCTGCACACCTGAAGTCCAGTGTTAGTCCAGTGTTAGCAAATATGGATCAATAGGCATAATACAAATAATAAATAAAAGCACCAATGAGGTCTGGCTTTGTTTTGTTAATCTACGGAAACTGTACTCAGACACTGTCTTGGTACTGGTGTAAAATGGGTGTGAAGTGAGAGCAAAATGAAGCCCTGTGTGTCTAGATCTTACTTCATGCAAGAAAGGTTGTTCAAGAGGAGCTCCTCCCTGAAATCAGAGGAAAGTCATTGTATTGCTTGGCACCTGCCCAAAGTGATTTCATTTTCTGCTGGGGATTAAGATGCATTAATAGCCTGAGGACAGCATTTTCCTTGCCAAAAATGTCTTTCTTCCCTCCTCTGATTATTTTAAATATGAGGGCTTGCAGGTCAGGAGTGAACACCCAGCAAGTATTACTTGAACCATCAAATGAAAGTGCAGCAGTATCATTTTCTCTTGAGCAAACACTGAATTAATTAAAATCTGCATTCTGAACTTGGCAGATTTCACATTTTTCATAAGAAAAGTACAGGTCTGTACATAGAAAAGGCAGACTAAAAATAACTAGAGATATGACACCTGAATGGCAGTCTTTAAGACTTTAAGCCACACTAAAAGTTTTTCTGGCAAAACGCTATCTTTAAGACTGTCATTTACCCTCAGCTTGCTCTCTACCCCTGAGCAATATAGCAAAACTGGCAAAAGCCTTCATGTAAATGTGATTATGCTGGCCAGAAAATCCTTTCAGCAGCAGAGCTATGCTCTCTTTGGGGAAATGGCATAACCTACATGGGCCAAAGCACTCCTGCCTGCTGAATAGTACCCCACAAGGGAGCAAGGCCAATATAACATATAATCAGTGAAAAATGTTTCTAGCATTTGGAAGCCCAGGCCTGCAGATATCAGCTACCAGGCTTCTGCCACCAGCTCGTGGCTGCCTGTTTGTCTATAGCAGGCTTATGATAGCAGGAAGCTAATATATCACTATTCACATCTCTGTATCAACTTGGAAGAGCTGTGCAGTTCTCCCTTCAGGTCTCGAGAGAGAATTGAGTCCTCACACAGGCAGAATGCAGGGTGGGACAGATATGGGGCAAGAAACCTGAAGGGCCCAGTGCCACCAGAGCTGATGCCAAATAAAAGTAGCAGCAATCTATGTTGACAGAGCCAAAGCAATTTTTCTTAAAGATCTTGTGCAAAGGATACTGCAAAAGTAGAGGGAGAACAGCATTTCTCTTGAAGTCCACATTAATAAGTGTCTGTACGCAGACTGAAGGTTGATTTACCTTTTCTCCCCCTCCAAAACTCCTTTCTTTTGCTCTATTCTTATAATCCAAGTTCAGCTGATTTGTGTAGTGATACACAAGTATGAAATTTTCCTTCTCTTCACTGCACTTGTCATTCTCCAGCAGATTGATCTGAAAACACAAAGTCACTTCAGTCATCTGAAAATACCAGGCAAAATGTTTTCATTCCTACCTGTGTGAATCTGGAACAATCTCATCTGCTTCGGTACATTTGTTTGATAGCTGAAGGAAGCCAAATAGCAAGCTGAAAAGGCTTTGAAGGTCGGCTGGCTTTCTGCACATCCAAAACAGTTTAAGAGCAAAAGGCTTTTTTTTTTGTTATTGTTGCACAGTGAGATGATGTGGACTTCATGCTTAAATTCAGCCCTTGGCTGTAGCATGGGGAAACTGGAGGGATCCTTATGAAAGATGCTCAGAGGGGACCCAGTAAGTGGAGGTGAGGTACCTTGAAGCAGAGACATAGTAAATCTCTGCTGAACTATGTATATCTAGGTTTACATTAAAGAATAAAACATTTGTGCAGCAATCATTCTGGGCTCAGCAGTTCCTAACTTGGAGAACAGGCTAGCTTGCTAACAGATGAATTTCCTAATTCTCTGTGTAGGCAGAGCAGAAGGGTAGAACTCTCCCAGCAGTACATGACAGTTGCCTTCAGTGTAGGCAGAATGGCCAGCAGCACACCATGCCCATCCCAAGGGAACTGCCAAATGACACTGAAGCTGTAGCAGCCACAGGAGGATGAGGGAATGGCTGCCATACAGACCCTGCACTGCAGAGACTGGTTGGGACCACAGAAGGTATCTGACATGGATTTGAGCACAACGGTATGGACTGGGCTGACAGCTGCTCTGCACCAGGAGTCAGGCAGGGATCCCATCCTCATCTTTCTGAGCAGGAGCTCCATAAGATGGTCTCTGCAGTACAGGTAGGTGCCAGACACCACTGGGATCTGCTGGGAGGCATCTGTTTATCCCAGTAAGATGTTCTCCTGTGCCTGCCCTTGCCTCCATAAAGGAAATAGAAGCACCTGCGGTGGAATCTGCAGCATCTATTATGCATTGAGTGAATAACAAGGAAGTGTTTGATTTTCGTCTAAAGACATCATCTGCATAAGAATGCACTCTCATAGAAACCATAAGACTTCAGGGGGTGTGTTGGAAAAAGAGAGGGTATTAAGCAGAGTAAAGCATCTTCACTGTAAGAAAGGTTTTATCAAAAAAAAAAAAAAAAAAAAAAAGGTGAGCCAACACTCAGCTACAAAATAAAGACAAGTGTTCCAGGCAAAATATGACTAAAAAATGAGACATTTTATATCTCCAAAGGCATCTACAAGGAGAAGAATTCAGGTTATGCACTGAAATCCCAAAAGGCTCATATTAGGAGCACATCTGTATAGGTACCCTTGTAAAATGAAACAGCTCTTCAAGAACTTGCTGAAATAATGAGCAGATAATAACTGTCTTGGGGCACCGAGGTTTCAGCAGCATGCTTAGCTTGACTGAGAAGGTGTCTGGAGGTGTGAATGGGCAGAGTGCCACCGCCTATGGAAGACACTACACCTGATATTGACAGCCTGGAACAGCTGGAGGCAGGGGCAAATGTGTCTGAGATGGCTGTTTCTATTGTGCGGGTGGAGATCAGAGCCTGAAATGGGTCTCTACAGAGAACAGAGAGCTGACTGCATCCGCTCTGTATTAAGGAAGTCTATGGACAATGAGTCTATATGTCATGGAGATGTAGCAGTCCCACTTCATTTCACGGTAGATTTGTGCCGCTCTGAATGTGAAATTGCCCCTTCAGCAGCTGTTCCAGAGTCTTCCAAGGGCTAATTTTGTGAAGCAGTATCTGCCCGCCTGATATCAGCTCCATTTGCTACTGAAAGCTCTGCAAAGAAACAGAGCAAATGTAGCTCCACTCAACAAACAGCGAGTCCAAAAAAAGACAGTGGAAAGAGAATGGGAGAGCTATCAATATCCAGGATGGTGAAAGGCACAGGGAGTAACTGGAGACAGCCAGCATGGCATGAAAGACAAAATCACTGCCCTCTCTTCTCCTATTAAACTGACAGAAACAGAGACAGATGATAAATAAATGCAGCTAAGTGGGATGAAAGCCTGAGGGAAGCTCCAGGAGCAGCTCAGGATGCACCAGTTTTTAGCTGATCTCTAGGTCGGATGGAACTGCCAGTGGCAATGCAGGAGCTGATGTTAATGCAAAACTGATTCAAGATGCTCCTTAAACACCAGGCAAGGAAACTTGCTTGAACTGGAGCAACAGCATTATGTCTGTCATAGTTAATGGCCCACAGCAGCAGATCTCCTCCATCTCTCCTCCTGCCTACCTTCTCACCACTGCTGGAAGGATGTGACACCTGCTCAGGAGCTGGTGGTCATGAACTGCAGCACTGATCTCTGCTCCTTATCCCCAGACTCTTCTCCAGACTGGACAAAGTATTAAGAATATAGGTGAGCTGAGGACAGTGAAGAGCAAAAACATCTATTATGCTCAAACATTTATTATCACAGCCTTGCCCAGCTTAGTTTTTTCTAATTGAGCGAAGCAAACTTTGGTATCTGGATCAGTCTGTTGTAGCAGACCAACCGTGGTCTGTGTAACAAGGTCTGGAGAAGCCTGATGCCAGAGCTGCTTCCCCTGCTTATGCAGCAGCAAGCTTGGAAATGCCACTGAATGACAGGAATAGTGCTGCAATCTATAGGATGCATTTTGCTGAATCTGGAGTGAACCTTGGGCTTCACCCCACATCCTCACAGATCATTTAGATATTAAAAGCACCTAGGATCAATCTCGGAGTGTGGTTTGCTTCAAATTTATGTTATAGCTAAGGACCACAGAAATTCTGAAGCATATTCAGCAGTGGCATTTCAATAGCAGAGTTGGTTTTCTTAACCTGACCTCCTATATTCCCAATGACAAGCACAAAACATACAAGTTTGGTCTCATCAAAAAGCTCAGCAGCCACTGTTGCCTTCAGGGTGAATGTTAATCTTATAATCTCCTTCACTCTCTGTGTTGCAGCATAATGTGTGTAAATGTACTGCAGTAGAGATCATGCAGAATCTGGTTCATGGAGCCTTGCATAAGCTTGGGTGAGACCAAACAGAAAAGCAAAAGAAGCATCCCTGTGCTTTGTCCCTGACCCATACAGAGGGCTCTGCCATGAGCAGAATCTGAGACCAGACTCAGAGCTGATTTGTTCATAAGGAAATAAATGTGACCAGTCTTGCACAAGCTCTCACTCAGGTGATGGCAGGGCTATTTCAGGCTGGAGCTAGTAGGCACAGGCCAACATGCAGCCCAGTGAGCAGGCTAACCATTAAGCAATGCAGATGATGGCAGACAGTCTGCTGCTTGAGCTCATGTTTAGATTTACTAATATGGATAAAGCCTCTACTAATACAGTGGGCCAAATCTGGTGTTACTTTTGTGTCTGAATGGTAGCTCAGTGTCATCACCCAAGGGCAAACTGCATCTGAAAGCAGCCTGTAACAACAAATGAGATTTTTTTACTTGCAACATAATGAAAAGAGCTCATCTTAGAGCCTAAGAAGTAGGGCTTTGTACATGCCAACCAAGAATGCTTAGCAGAGGGAAGAAGTAATCACTGGCTGTGATGCCATGAGCTCTCCTGGCAGCCTAAAGCTTGTTTCACTCTTTCTTCTGCATGCAACAGCAAAACCATACGCCAAGTGCTAGCTGCAAATTGAAGTGTCTCAACTCCCTAGACAAGAGAAATGTTGCATTTATGAGTAAAGGGATTGTTTAAGACTGAAAACAAATCAACACATTTGAATTAAGAATTCAGAAACAGCTCCTTAGACAATTTTTTCTTTGAAATTTTACCTTTTCCCCTCCAGTTAGTGCAGGCTGTTCAAGCAAAAGAAGTGTCCCTCTCAGGGAGGGGAAGAAATGCTCATGTGGAGGAATAGGACAGGCAGACATTTTGCAAGCTCCTTCTCCAGTCTCTGCTGATGCACTGCATTCTGCTAATTTAATTCCTCCAGAACAGAGACAGAGCTTGTGTAATTGGTTGTATACTGGTGCTTGTAAGACTAACACCACAATCCAACCCCAGTGATGCCCTCCAGATGTGATTGCCTCCTTCAGGTTAGAAAGGTTATCAGAAGAGTCACATCTTTTAAATTCCCTGGAATGTAGGAAACAGGGTGTGTACAAGCAGGATTTTGTAGGCATTGCGTGCCTTTTCTTACCGCTGTTATAATTCAAAAGGAAGCTTTCAGCAAGAGTTGTATTGCTGTTAAAGTCAAGCCCACCAGCCTCTGTGGAGATAACAATCCAGTCCAAATGGCTGTGTGCTCCACTAAGGTACACTAAGAACCTAAGTGGCAGAGGAGCCAAGATAAGTTCCCTTCCCTTTTCTCCTTCCTTTCCCTTCTGTTATGTCTGCTTGGTGGCTAATAGTAAACTCACACTCAAGCTTAATGGGAATTCCTGCTGCTAATCACTTTTGTAGAAGCCTCAGGGTGGAATGGCAGTAAATGCCTGGGTGTATGGGGCAGTCTGGCATTGCTTTAAAAATAAACTTTCCTTAGTTATCTTATTCTCCCTTGACTTTCACACTCTCTTCTTGCTAAAAGACAAGCAGAAGAAATGAAGACAGCTCTTCTTTCTGTCTCCCAGAAAAAAGCCATTTCTTTCCATGTCCTCCATCCTGTCCCATCCCAATCTGTTTTGTACATACCACAGTGGAAGAGCTTGGCTGGACCCCAGATCCCCTGCCCTTGCAGGACACAATATGATTTGAATGCAGATGGCCATGCTGCACAAACATCTGCTAGCTGACAGACAAAGTGAAGATACGAACAGAGCAGCAGAGGCTGCACAAGGCTTTGCAAGCCACCAAGTACTGGATGTCTAGCACTATGTATATGAAAACATGTACCTGAATTCATGATCTCATTGCTATCGTAACTGAGTAATGTAGTTTTGCCGCCCCACAGCCCAGGAGAGGAGACCAGTTAATAATATGCTATTTCTCTAATACAGAACATCAGCTAAGTCTTGGCAAGAGCAAATGATTTGCCAAAGACCTTGACGGGAATTTACAGGAGGCAAGGGGACTGAACCTGATGTTTTCAGTCTAGTGTTTGCATGAGATGTTCCTTAAAGCTAACTAAGGTGAAAATGGACCGAGAGAAGTGTGAAGCTCCTTTCAAAACTTGAGGTTGTAATTCAAGACTGAGAAAATGACATAACATTGCAACACAGGCTAGATAACGTGGATAAAAGTGCCTGAGAATAGGATTTTTGAATTCTGTTTTGGCATCTGGTTGAAGGTAATTTGGACTCAATAGAACATGGACTACCGCAGTATCCAGGAGTCTTTAGAAGCCTACAGATTTTAGGGCACTAAAGAAAATACAGGAATCTCCCCTGGAGAACTGACTTTGTTCATTAAGACACCTGCTAGTGCACCATATACAGCAGATTGCATATAAACAACTAGCCTGGCAATATAAAGAATGCTTTGTGTGACACAAGAAGGCATTACAAATAAATGAATTAGTAGATATCAGAATCACCCACCACCTCACCTCTCAGACATAGAAAAGGATTCCAGCAGTAGGCTGCTTCTTGCAGTCCTATGCTGCACAAAAGAAGAGTATCACAGAATCACAGAATAAGAGAATCGCAGAAAAGGAGACACAGAATTTCCATATATTCTGTTGCTGTAACATCGCTATGATTCTGCAGAGACTGAGACAGTCTGTTAATATTTACTTACCAAAAAAAAAACCCAAAGAAAGAAAGAAAGAAAAAACTCCTTGAAAGCTGATACTTTGTATGCCAGATGTATATTTGGTTCCAAAAGGATGGCTTTAAATCTATCAGGAAATATATAATAATTCAAAGGATTAATATACTGAGTGCATGTGACAAAAAACAAGCAAACCAAAAACAAAACAGCAGTTCTCAGGTAAGAAAAATCTATTCAAAATTGAAGAGTAGAATGGAATTATAGAATTATAGAATCACAGAATCATTAAGGTTGAAAAAGACCACTAAGATCATCCAGCCCAGCTGTCAATCCATCACTACCATACCCACTACCCGTGTCTCTCAGTGCCACATCTACATGGTTCTTGAACACCTCTAGGGATGGTGACTCCAGCACTTCCCTGGGCAGCCATTCTAATGCACTACTCTTTCTGAGAAGAAATTTTTCCCAATATCTAGTTCACCTCCCATGAAGCAACTTGAAGCTTACTTGGGAGAAGAAGCCAACACCCACCTCAGTACATTTTAGGGAGTTGTAGAGAGCAATAAATTCTACCCTGAGCCTCCTCTTCTCCAAACTGAACAATCCTAGTTCCATCAACCAATTCGCTGCCCTTCTGTAGATGAGCTCCAGGATCTGAATCATAGAATCATAGAATTGGTTGAATTGGATGGGACCATTAAAGATCTTTTAGTCTTACTTCCCTGCAATGAACATGGACATCTACAACTAGATCAGGTTGCTCAGAGTCCTATCCAGCCCAACCTGAAATGTTCTCCAGATCCACCACATCTCTGGGTAACCTGTGCCAATGCCTGACCACCACAAATAACTTCTACCTTATATCCAATCTAAATGTCCCCTTTTTTAGTTTGAAACCATCTCCCCTTACTCTGTCATAGCAGACCCTGATGAGAGTCTGCCTCCTTCTCTCTTACATCCTCCCTTTTGACACTGAAAGGCTGCTATCAGGTCTCCCTGGAGCCTTCTCTTTCCTGTAGCGAGGGGCCCAAAACTGAATGGAGTAAGCTGAAGGTACTCCTTTCTACTTCTTAAATGAACTTAGAATCCTTAAAAATTGCTTTCAAATGGGAAGAATAACTTTTGCTGAAGCAAAAATATATAGCAAAAAGAGAAGTTGAAAGTTCTCTTCCAAACAATAATTTTTGTCCTCCTGGTTGCTTAAATTATGAATGCTGAATTTCTTACTGTTTGTTTTCTCAAACTTCCTATGGTCATCAGACAAATTAGCAGTGTTACCACAAAGATAATATACCAGTGAGTTCAAATTTTAACTTACAAGTAATTTATTTTCCTATTAATCTGTTAAAATGACTTTTGTCTTCTTTGTGTTAAAAACTTTATATCAAACAGCAAGGATTCTCTTTAAGGCAATTGATATCTTTTTAAGATTTTTGATTCAGATCTGACAAAATTCCCATTTCACAACTGACTCTTCAGCAAAACCTCTACAAAGTTAATGAAATTTCAGGCTTAGCATTCTCACCTGAAATAAAAAATCAAGCAGGAAAAATATTAAAACAACAAGCCAACAGTTTTATGTTCTTTGTATATATTTTGTGAAGAAATAAACTCCACAGAATTGTGTGGTCTTTTTCTGTTTGCAAGACACCTTTAAAAATAAGACTCAATCTATTATTTTAGCATTTGAAATCAATCTTCTCAGGCCCACTGAGGTTTGTAGATTGAGCAGCCTGCCATGCAAGGAGCCAGGAAAATCATTTCTAAGCTAACGAACTATCACACCAGACTTTCTTGGCAATTATTTTAGGTGTGACTGATCAGATAGTCTTCTCAAACAAGCTGTTTTAATTATGTCAAATAATGCTTTAAGCATACCTAAGCTCTCCTGAGTGTGATTCCACACCAGAATCTCCTAATAATCACAGAATTATGTAATAGCCTACCACGGACTTGTCCACTTGACAAGAGGTCTTTGCAGCTGCAGCAGTGTTCAAATTTGCTACAGGCCCACAAATGAAGTGTACCAAGCAATGCTGGATGGGTGTTACCCTCTTAGGCCTTCTTATAACCACTGCAATGGGGACATGATTCCTTGGAACTGCATTCTTTTCTGTCTCCCTCCCTAATTCTGTATACCATCCTCTCTGTACTCTCTAACACCTGACTAATGTGTCTCTGTGTGGTTACTGAGACCTTGTAGGTCATTTTGGAGGTGCAGATGGCTTGGTAAAACAGTAGCATTTTGTTCAGGATTCAAGCTGCAAAGTTGCATCAGCAGGAATGGAAGTAACAGCAAGCAGCTCCTGTCTGAGCTGTGCTGCTCTATGAACGAAGGAGAAAAATCAGTTTCTCAAGTGACGTTCCGATGCCACTCTCATATCTCACACACAACATTTGGGAACACATTTGGGAATAAGAACTGTGTCTTGTGCAGCTCTGCTGATTTTATGCCCCAAAGCACAAACATGGCAGAAGAGATACCAATGAAGCTTGGAACAGTATAAGCTGCATTTCTGTTTGCTTCTCCTCAGTGCCCAAGTCATGCACCCCATGCATGGCTCTCAACCAGTCCCACTGTAGGAACAGCACAGTATAAACAGATGGAAGACACCTACCTGCAACAGTTTTCTGCCACATTCATCAGTGGGAAACATGGGCTGTAATCACCTTAAACATTTTGCCACATTCCTGTAAAGGAAGGAAAAGCAAACATAAAAAACTCGTACCTCAGTGACTTGCAGTTCACATTGAAAGAAGCAATTGAGGCAAAAGGAAAGCACCCAGGAAGGCTTGAAGCTATGGTCACAGGTGCAATGGGTGCCACCAAGGTCAGGAGCAGAAGATTATTCTGGAACACAGAGACCTTGTGCATAGGAAATAAGAGCTTTACAGTTTTACATATTTGGTCAGAGCTATCCTTTCAAGCAGCAAAACTCTCCTGCTTGCTTTTTACACACATTTGAGACCATCATCTTTATTCTTCAGCATGGACTGTTAAAAGCTTCCTAATTGTGCCATGCAAACAGCTTGTGATATATAGAACAGAGTCGGTACTGAAGCCCTCAAATGATGCTAACCATGGCCAAGTATTTGGGAGCTGCAAAATCTGAGCAGCTTGGGAATGGAGAACGTTCTGAATGAGTTGCTCAAGGAATTATCTGAAATCTGCCAGTCTGGCTGACACTGTGCCTAGGAAGAGCAAAGATGCCTCTTGCTGTTTCTGCCTGCAGCAAGAAGGCACTGCCTGCAGAGGAGTAGTCCCTTAGCATGAAAATCAGTTGAATTTCGTTGGCTGCACAAGTCTGACTGGAGGCACGTCCAAATCCTGCTGTGGGACTGCAGAGAAGACTGGAGATTTCTTACGGTTTTAGATGTATTTATTCTCTTTTCTGCCACTGGAGGGCACAGCTCACTTTCCTGCAAGGTGAAACAGAAATCACAGGGATTTTGCCTACTGAAAAGGTTTGGCATTCTTCCCATCTTCCTCCATGCCTGCTTTCTGGCCCTTTGGCCGGACCTGAAGACCCGGCTGAGAAGAAGAAAGTATCTGTGACACAAGTGAATGACACATAGGCACAAATGCCTGTTGATAGGCATTTTCCTCAGCACAGCTTTTTGCTACCAGAGACCTGGTGCCTGCTGATACACAGGGTAGGGCAGCCAGTTCTCACTTTGCTCTGTTTGAAAGAGAACTCGATACTCAATGGATTGCATTTAGAAACAATTCTGCCAAAATGCCACATCTCCTGGTTTTGCTCTGCCCTGTTTGTATGCTGCCATGGGTTTGTGTGGCAATAAGAGCCTTGCTTGGGGGCAGTGATGGCTCCTGTTATCATTGGACAGGCTATGCAAGGGGACAAGCTGTGCAAGACGGTACTGCCTTGCTTTCAATGTCAGGGACTGATTTTTGAGAAAGAAGAGATGCCACCTTCTGCAGAGCAGGGAGTGACCTTTTCTGCAAACAACATTTTATCAGCAGTGAGTTCTTATATAATTTCTCTTTCAGCAATCACAGGCAGAACAGTGTGACCATCAGCACATCCTCTGTTTTGAGATGACAGTTAAAATTTAAAAAGAGCAACCACAGATTTGAGCCCTTTTTTGTCTTATTCCCTTTTACTCTCAGTGCATTTCTGAACTGCCATAGGCTTTCTGATGCTGCGTTGAGGACTAAGGACTAATTTCCTAGATGTGCTTTTCATTGATGAGCATTCATCCAAGTAAATATGCAAAAGCATTTCAGGTTGGGAAGTGCCAGGAAATTGCTCTGTTCCTGATAAGACATGTGCAACTGATCTCCAACAGTGGCATCAACAGTAGTTTGGTTTGTTGATTAGAATAATGAAACTTTGCTTTTAAACATTACAAATGAAAAGAAACAAAAGCTGTATTAGTGACATTGTTTCAGTTTGTTGAACTAATGTTCTGTGTGTCCTAGTTACTAATAATTTTGATCATGATGAATAGAGTTGCTCAGATACAAATACATAAGGAGTTACAAATAACTGTAATCTTCCATCCAAATGAACAAAAGTCCATATAAAATAGGCAAACATGATCTTACCACAGCAGTCAATTAGTAATAACAAACATCAATAGTAAATATTATTTCAGTTTTGTGTTTTTTTTTTTTTTCCAGAGACAATGGATATTAATGAGAATTTGGCAGATGAATTGTAAAAGCAAAAATAAAAGGCACTCCATGAAACTGCTATGTCCAAGTGCCAGCTATCAGCCTGCGAAAGACTAGGAAACTACAAACAGTGACTTACCCAAGCAACAAGACTGCATTTCCATGCAAACTATCAGGCTGCTAAAAATAAATGCCAGGAGATTGAAAGGATCCACATTATATAAGCAGAAATGCATATAAATCAGCATTTCATGAAAGCTCACCAGAAGGCATCAGCAAGTCTTCAATGGGTAGCTTAAACATCTGTTTTTGCTCTCTGTCTCTGACAAGTTGGCTCTCCAAATGCACCAGCTGCCAGGCTACCAGCCCTGAAAACTCAGGAAAGGAACAGACAAGCATCACCAGCAAAGAGCACGACATGACTGAACGGTGTGTTCCAGGTGCCCGAGGGAGTTCTTCTCAAAGAACTCCAGAAATGTGTTGAACCCAGTAGGGTTAAACCTCAAGATGATTATGTAGCAATCACAACACTCCAGATTTACTCCTGGGTTCCTTGGAAAATCGAACAAGCAATCTCCATTAAGAGGTCCCAGAATATGGGATGCAGTCTGCTTCTAATCGCCAACATGGTCAACAAAAAAAATGGTTTAAAATGCTTTTCAGAGAAACTTTAGTAGACAGCAGGAGAGATTTCCCAAAGTCAGTAAGAGATGCAGGAACAAAAGCAGGCCTCCCACTGCCTGCTGTTAGTCACAACACACCAAGCCACAGCTTGTAGCGGTGAAGGATGAATGAGCACCTCCAAAAAGGAGACAGACAGCTGTCACTGTCAGTGCTCTTCAGTCACGTTGGTTTAATGGGTAAGAACTTAAAACACATCTGAACCTGAATGTCCTACTGATAATGGCAGCTGGGGCCATAGGCCAGACTGCACATCACAAGCAAAGCCCACTGTGCAGGTTGATGGTAAATCCCACGGTCCTGGTAGGAGATCATTATGCACAAACCTCTTTGCATTCCCCTGCAGGCAGCAGGGATGAACAATCCTCCCCTGCTGCGAGCTCTTCTGCCTTGAAGAAATGGTACACAGCTCCAACTCGCTCTTTCGTAGAGTAGCATGTTGTGCAAGGGCCTTTCAAAGCAACCCCAAGAATGGGTTTTGACGACATCACCAGATGGCCAAGCCTTCTGACATTTAATAATCCACCAAGACTGGGGACTGGAAGTATATTTTCTCCTCCTTCGAGCCCTCCCACACATTGTATCTTGCTTTGTCTACTTGACCCAGCAGAGATTGCTTCTGTCTTTCCCCTTCCTGCCTTTTTGCAGGGCCAGTGCACAGACTTCTCCTTTCTTTTGAAGAATCCTTAGCTTCACTGCATTCCTGATGAGAATCCAGCCTCCTTTTTTCACTGAATTCTTCAAAGCCTTCAAATATCCCTCTAAATGGATCCTCAGAGATCTGTTTCAGCTCAGCTCAAGATCCTGTGTATTCATTTTTGCCTACAGCGAAGAAAGGACTCTATTCAAAGAAGGATCTTGTATTTTCATTTTGCCCTCGATTATTTCTTTTGGAAAAATTAAAGAGCAGCTGGAAAATCTCTATTGCCACTCTAATATTATTTTCTCTACCACATATTTGTTTTAATGCTGTACACAGAAACAAAATGGAATTCCTCTGGAAGCAAAAGCACCGCAGCTTCTTTAAAGCCATCACTATTTTGGCAGCAGCTATTTTTACCAGCAGAAAGAAGCCTAGGGTTAAGAATTAAGCTTTAGAAGCCTGACTGATCAGAGCTCCAGTCACCTCAGTGCTTCCTATCATGACCTTCCTTTTCTTTTTCTTCTGGGAATTTTTATTTGGGCTGAAACCCAACATAAATAAAACTGGCCAGAGTTATTGTTGGTCTTTTAACTTCTACTGTTGTAGCAGCTATGCATGTTGAAAACACATATTAAGTTTTGAATTAGACCTAGGCTCCCTTCCTTTCTGAGCCCTTCTACTATTTTAGAAGTTTGAGGCTGTGTTGCTCTAAACCCTATCTGCATTCACCTGAGCATATTGTTGACCACTTAATGGAAAATAATTCTAGTGCTTTGTACAGAATATTTTAGCTAGAAGATGCTCAATGTCAGCTATTTGAGAATAGAGCCTGTTTCAATTCTCTTTTACTCTCTGAAAGGCACTGTGAACACTTGTAGACAATATCTCCTTTTCCAGGAAACAGTCTTGTTGCATCACTGCTATTAACCCCTTGTTTTCTGCAGAGTTTGGCTGATTTTGTCTCAGGAGAGGTGGCAGAAGAGCAATAATATTCCTCTCTGAGCAGGACTCAAGCACAGTTCTGCAAATCAGACCAGACCAGCACATGTGGAGTCTCAGCAGACTTCGATCAGTAGTGCGGAAAGGAGTAACTCCAGGTTAGGTCAGAAAGTGAAACACCAGTTATGGGTAACTGCTAAGGAGATAAATAACAAGGAAATAAACCTATCCTAGCAGCTGCTGTTTTCTGTTGATGCAAATCCTTCAGACTTCCAAGAAACAGGAGCGGCCATTGTTTTTGTTTGCTATTTGGAATGAGTTGTCTTCATTCCTTGAAGAAATGAAACATTCTGGTTTGAATAACAATATGTTTTCTTATGAAGGTGCCCTTTCCCAGAACCCACAGGGAAATATTTGGTGCATATACATTTGTTGGCACTTCTCTGAATCTACTTCTTACTCTCCAGATTTCGGAGAATGACCTGGTTCATACTTATCATTGATCTATGAGGGGAGCAATTCTTTGCCAGAAAAAGCCACTGTGAAATATCCACACTCTGATAAACTACAGTTCTGAGCAAGTCATTTCTCACCCAGTTGCTGATTTTTCCTTTCCTCTGAAAATAAGTTATTAGTCAAGGACAAGCAAGTGCTAACAGCTGAAGATATCTGCTTTACTCTCAGAGATGGGAGTGCACAGCCAGAGGTATCTCTGCTTTCAGACTGTTCTTCAGGTCAGAATGACCTTTTGCATCATTGCCCTGATGAAGGGGAAGCATTGCTGCTCGACACAGATCTTGCCCATAGGACCCATCCATGAAATGAAAACTGTAAGAACAAAGGATCCAAAGGCTTCAGCTTCGTAATTTTCACAGATCTTACAAAATATGCAGTAGATTTTTAAGATTAAGGGATCAGTTTTCCTGCTTGGGCCAAGCTGTGGAAGTAAAAACAAGAATGGTCACAGAGTTGATGCAGTTCTAATGGGCAAAGCAAAGGGAAAGGAAATGGAGTCTTGCTCTGTGCTTAGGAGTAGTTATAAAACTGCAAAGAACTTTGATTGTTGTGCAGAGTGATTTTTTTTTTTCTTCTTTAAATTTCAAATACTATTTGAGTTTGAAACTAACAGATTTTTGGCATATCAGCTTCCCCTGTGAGTATATCACATTCTCAGCCCTTGGTAGAAAGATCCATCCTGGAAAGGATTAAGCAGTTTGAGAGGTGTGTCACTGCTCTTATTCCTTCAACTGATGGCATATACTCACTGTCCAGGGAAATTATGGAGAAACACAACCTCCCTATTCATTGATCCAACAGAAGAAACATCCCAGCCAGTTGTGAAAGACTGATACAGACATAACACGTGGCTTTGTCTTTTCTCTTGGACCCATTCAGTGTGTGACCATGTCTATGAGTATATCTGGACAAAGAGAAGCAGCTTCTTTGAAGCAGCTTTCAGCAACCACACAGAAACTGAGGCCAGGGAGACAATGCTTGTGCCTGAGCAAAGCCAAAGTCACTCCTGACAGTGCAACAGCACACAGTGAATGGAAGAATTACCAATGTGAAGCATTTTCACAGAGGTGGATGGATCCTTCTCTATAGCCCTCAGCATAATGCTGGTCTGTAAAATGGGGATGGAATGAGGGGTAACAGAAGTCTAGGGAAAGCACCACATCTAAAGCAGTCCTGCAAGGGTCACAGGAGACATAGCAATCTTTCCTCCAGGGCTGCAAATCGCAATCATGTCAGCTAGGCTAGGGGGACATGACACTATAAACAGAAATAGTTTATCCAAAGAGCAAACCTCTCTTCTAAAATGCTATTCAGAGAGGTATGAAGATGCCAGTTTAGGAGGCAATTATTAACCTTGGCAGCTGCCTCACCCACTCTCAGCAGTGAGGAATATGAAACCTGATAGATACAAGGTTCTGTAATGCTTAGGGACATTTCTGTTTTAGTTTACGTTTCTGATTTATATAATAATAACAAGAACACTAAGAAAGAACTGCTCTGCCATTCTGTCTTTATAGGTCAGAAGTTTAAGATTTTAGTATTGCCATCATTTTTTTAAACAATAAAATAGTCAGGCTGCACATTGTATATATATCCCACTAGCTGGCATTCTGCAGTAGCCTCATTTGTATTCTGTCTTTTCCTTAGCAAAAAAAAACTAAACTACTACTCTGCATTGCCACAACTAAGTAGTTCCCCACTGTGATACAGACATTGCCAAACATCTCACTAAATTCAGCATATCCCTGTTAACACATTTTATTCATACTGATGGTCTGCATCACAGTGTGTTCCCGAAGCCTTGCTTTAAAATTTAAGCTCCAGACCTTTAACAAAAAAATATAAAGCAAAGTAAAGTGAGTATCTTTTCCTATGCAGCTGTGCAGTGGAACAGTATCTCCTTCAAGGATGATCTATCACAGATTTTAGGCTTTTTTTTTTTTTTCTTTCTCCTTTCCCCTTACCCCCCCAAATCCCATGAATGGCTTAAGTGTCTCCCCATACAAAGGAGAACATCTTGACTTCTTGAAGTATTATTGCCTATAAGGCCCTTTTTCATTTCTATACATTCCTTGAGGATTGGGAGTGGGCAGATCTATTGGGGATTAAAGTCTCACTGGTCCTCTTGGTTCTTCACAAACATGCCAGTAGCCATCATGCTCCAATCTTGTGAAGGGAAGTCCAGCTAAGCACATGAAGTAACTTCAAGTAAAGAACTGTAGGGAATCCAATGACTTTCTGGGCCAGAATCATTTACTGTAAAGCTCTCCTTTGCTGTCAATCAGGTAAAGTTTTCACCTGTGAGTCTACGCAGAACATACAAGAGGATCCCTCAGCTAAATAAAGGCTTTACCATTTGGTTCTGAGACTTAAGAGCTACAGCACTCTGAAACACGTTGGATTCTCTGGGGATTGGAGAAGGGGAAGAATTAACCTCACCTAATTTTAGTCCTTTCAAAGTAGAGGTGGTTAGGCTGAATTAGACCCATCCCAGAACCCACGGTAGGCATACTAGGAGGTGGCTCACAGCCTCTTAGACTCATTTCAAGATAAGAGCATTCAC